CCCTCTAGATTCCGAAGCGGAAGGTAACGAAGAGTCCATTCTGGCGGACGAAAACGATGAAGTGGACGAGGCAGTTGCTGCTGCTGTTGATGACCAAGTTGATGACGACGTGGCAACTGAGCGTGACGAAGTGCCAGTGGAGTTTGACGTGACTGGTCCAGCGATTGACAGACTTCAAGCAGAGGGGTGGGAGGTGTTCGATGAACGCCACGCGGACCAAGTGCGACACGATGCATTACCCCTCAACGACGGCCCATCTGGTCCAACCCGATCTGCGCTGGCATACGCGGAGAATCCTATCGCGATATTTTACTTTTTTCTGCCGAAGGAGCTGTGGCGAAAGATTGCAGCCGAGACGAACAAGTACCGTAAGGACAGCATCGACAGTACTTCGCAGCAAATGCGTGCACGGGCACGTCAGCAGCGCGAACGCGTCCCCTCAACAATAGTGCTGACCATTGATGAGTACAAGTCAAAACTAGCGCGCAAGCCATCCATCCGGCCCCACGAGATCATTCAGCTCATCGGTTTGCTTATCGCACGAGCACTAGAGCCACGCCGAGAGAGTCTAAGTCGGCACTGGGTCACGAAGGTCGAGGGTGCACTCGCGCAGCGGCACGTTTGGCCAGTTCTTGAGTCGGAAAATGGTTCCAAGACATGCGCGGTATCTCCACTTCAACGACAACGAACGACAGTCCGACAGTGGGGACCGGGCCTTCAAATTCGGCCCGTGGCTCAAGCGTTGCAGAAGACGTTCTTCAGAGGATACCAAATGGGTGCACGAATTTTGTTCGACGAAGGGATGATGCCGATGCGTCATCGCCGCAACCCAATGCGCCAGTACATGCCGGCAAAGCCAAACAAGTGGGGCACCAAATTTTACCTGACGTGCTGTGCAGACACCGCCTACTGCTCCAGGTACGAAGTACGATTGTTACGGATATCTGTCTTACAAGACGGATATCCGTAGTAATTATAATCTGTCTGGTCCGTAATGTATTATGTATGTGCCGTAATATCTCGCTAGCCGAACTGTGTCGTACTGTGTAGATTGGATATTTATTGCGGCAAGGCAAAGCAAGACGAAGAGGCTGTCGCGCAGCAATCTGTGATCAAGAATAATTCCAAAGTCCTTCGTGGGCAGCCTTCACAGCACCTCATTTGCACTGACAACTTCTATGGGCCCTCGCCACGTGGGAACTATCAGGAAAGATCGCAAATGCTGGTGTGCGGCCATTGAGTTCAAGCAAAAGAGACGACCGAAGCGTATGCCGCGCGGAGCGTGCAAGATGGCTGTGTGGAAGAGGCGCCGTGACTTCGCTGCGCTTACAAGGCTGGATAATAAGCCTGTTAGTTTTTTGGCGACGGGGTGCTCAACACATACCACTCAAGTCTCCCGTAGAGAGCGCGATGGCTCCATTTCTGCCATGCCCCCAGCTTGTGCGAGACTACCTAGAGGCGATGGGGGGAGTAGACGTTCACGGCCCAGCTACGCCTGCAGCGATACTCCATCCCAACGCTTGATTCGCATGCGGAAGTACTACAAGACGATATTTCTCGGTATCGTTGATATTGCAATGGTGAACGCGTTCATCGCCCACAAGATTGCGATGCGCAGCCGCGGGAAACCGGTGCCGACCCATGCGGCATTCATGCGGCGGCTGCATACCGATCTGCTGAATCAAGCAAGTGAGGATTTTGCTGCTGGTGACGACTTAGCAGATCTAGTTACAGAGCCTATCCCATGTCAACCTCACACACTCGAGAAGACCGAGGAGTGAAGCGTCGTCAGTGGTTGTGCAATGTGTGCTCAGCGTACGCTGGGCCCGGCGTACGGAGCTACGAGACCAGCTACTTCTGTGCTTCGTGCTCAACGGTCAAGAAGGGGAGAGTCACCTTGTGTAACAAGGCGCGCAGATTGGAGCACGGAAGCGCTCTAACATGCAATGAGGTGTGGCACCAGAGCTGGAAGAACGGCATGGTCATCCCCCCAGAGATGCAGCACAAGTTCAGGTTTGTTAGGAAGCGTAGGCCCGAAGTTGAGAGCGAGGTCGACGAGGAGTAAGTGAATGAGCAGTTGTGTGGGTGCTGGCCTCTTAGTTTTGTCTCGTTGTTGCTGTACGGTGTAACGGTTTTGCAGGGAGATCGCAATTGAAAGTTTTATGGACAGGTTCTGTTCTGCACATCATTCACAATTAGCCAATCACATGCCATAATCTGGACACGTGTCACGCGAAACGGCTCACAACTTGGTAAATTGTACTGATATTCCGGCATACGTTAGCTCATATATTAGGAATTACGGATACTCCGGAATAATCTTCGGATTAGAGGGGTTAAAAGCCGAGACCAATGCCGAGCCACCGCCCGGGAGAGCGTCCTGCTTGTCCTGAAAGCGCTCACTTTGTGATACTGGTCGATCTGGGGCAGGATAAAGGGGCTACAAGTATTGTGAGTGCAGATACTGCAGAGCTGCCTACGACAACGATACCACAAACATCTCACCAATCGCAATTGTGGCTAGGCCTCGGAGCTACAGAAGTCATCTGTCCAAATGCGACTATTTTGCTGCTACACGGATACAGCCGGCGTCGCCCATTTCAGCAGAATCGACTCCTACACATAATCAGCCAGCTGTAACTCCATCAGGCGAGCAATCTGTTGAGCAATTTCCATAAGTCAGTAGTTACTACTGAGATCGGGTGATTTGATTTGGTGCGTGTAAAGTACTGATCAGTAGTTGTCCCAAGCGTTAGATGTGTTACGCCTGGGTAGTAGCATAATAGTATTAATAATACACAGTGATGCTCAACCATCGAATGCATGAAGTAGAGCAACATGCTCTTACAAAACAACTTTCTCATTTCCATTTTATCCACGCCATGGCCCCTGTACTCCGCAACCTCTCGAAGAAGAAATTGGGCCGACCCAAAAAGCGCCTGCCCCGAACCTGCCCATCCTGCAAGGTCACCTTTAGCTCCGACTAAGCTAAAGAACCATTTAAACCGTCAACGCGGATGCGGTCCCAAGGTCGTAGCTCTTCAAAAGGCAAAAAGAAAAGAAGCGAACCGGTATTACAGAAAGGTAAATTCAATTAAAAAAAAATTAGACAAGGTGGGGATGTGGGATTTTGAGTACTTTGGGCGACGAGGCCATGGAAAAGCCTAAGTAGAGGTTGTTTTGGAGACAACTTGTCCACTGCCAAGGGATTGGCTCAGTTAGACTGGACGCAGGTAGTAGATCTTCGCTAGAGTGATATTGAGTGTGTGTAGCACGATAGAAGTACTATTACCTATTGTGAAGTGGTAATATTAGAATATCATTTACTACAGGTTGTTCTGTGATTCCCACACGCATGACGTGGTTGTGAGCAAATTAAAGCGAGTAACCTTCCAGCTTCCGTCAGCTCCGTTGACATTGATAGCAAACGGGCACTCAATTTCGTCATAGGAGGTGTTCTTGTCGAAGAATTGCTGACCATTCAGCTTTTTGCAGACATACTTTGCATTTCCACTATCGTTTGCCTTGCTACTGAAGCTTTTGACAAACAACTGAAAGCCGGACGATTGAGCAAGTTCTTTGCAGCGTTCTTGAATTGCCTTTTGAGATCCGTGAGTCTCGATCCCGATGTTCTCTCGCCGCTGCTACGCCACACCGTAGTTGCTCTTGCTACAGTCTGTCACTCCAATTGGTACATCTTGTCTCAACAAGCCAAGCGACCTGGCCATATCCAGCTCTGACACGTTCACCACGAAAGGAGCCGACCCGAAAGTGCGAGCTTTTCGTGTTCGAGAGCGGAGCATTCGGTCAGTGTATTGTGTGCCTCGTGGAACTAACGAGCTGGTGAGAGGAAACAGAGAAATGGGCTTGTAGCAGTGAGAAACGAATGCACGACGACAACAATAGAAACCAAGTCAACGTCTGTTGAGTGCCGTTGAATTTCCATATTAGATTAAAAAAATGTTGTTAGCATGCGCATCATATGTAGAATACTATACTATTTAATTTGAATATGAAATGAAGTACTATTTCATAACTACTGAGATTCGCTGACAATAGCAGTATTTACAAATCAAATCACCCGATCTCAGTAGTAACTACTGACTTATGGAAATTGCTCCAATCTGTTTCCAACAGAACACGCTCCCAGAGCGCTACTGTTTGCTGTGATCGGACAGGCGCCCGTGCTCCAATGGAATACGAGCCCGACGTACCTTGATGCTCGCGCAGCCCCCCCCCCGCGAATCTCAAAAATGCGTTCTCCACGAAGTGCTATGAAACGCTCCCGCCAACGTTTTAACAGGCGCTCCCCATTGACCAGTATAAAGCCAGCTCCAGTTAAAAAGAAGCCGAAACGTCAGCTTTCAAGAGATGACATTAAGCAACTCGAGCGTGCGTTAGTCGCAATGCACGCTGACAATCAGCTTCCTGATCGATTCGTCGAACAAGGATCAGTTTTACGTTGTTTTTAGATATTGTGTCCTGGTGTGGCAGCTATGCTTCCTTCACGTCGGATTTTGGATGGCCGACTACTAAAAGAGAACGCGAAGCGCTGCTACGAGAAAGCTATTGAAGCTCTGAGAACCATGCAACCGAATACGGGATGCTGTGTCAACCTCTCGTCTGATGTATGGATGAATATCTCTAAAGAACATTTTCTGGGAGTTCAGTTGACTCTATTCGGTGTAGCACCTATTTACGCTCTTCCACCAGCGGGTGATAGTCACGATGGCCTGGTCATCGCAGAGGAACTGGAGAAGATCATGAAGCAAGCACTCAATGAGGGCTGGGGCATCGGTGCTATTATCACGAACAATGCCAGTCAGTGTGCGAGGGCTCATCGAATATTGGCACTACGATGGCCGCAGATGATCTTCATGTTCTGTTTTGCACAATATCGTCAAGGCTATTTTGCAATCTTCATTTTGTAATGTAGCGGGGCCGCTGTGAATTGTATGAATGCATCATCTGCTAAGTGGCTCAAGCGCGCCCGGAGAATCATGTCTCAGTACTACGGCCGATCACTGTGTCTACGCTCGCTTTGTGCTACGAGATGGAACTCCGCTCAAGGCTATTTTGCCTCTTTGCTCTGCGTACAGTCGGCTTTACAAATGATTTACCGCTAGTACAAAACGGACGACGACTTCCCTGCGTGTCTTCACGTTTTGGGTGACACTGCGTTTGGAGTAAGCTAAAAACCGCGGAAGCGGTCATTGTGCCGTTGTCATACGCATCGTACATGCTTCAACGTGAAGAGAATACGGTAGGTGATGTGGTGCTGACCTACGGTGAGATCTAACGAGCGTTTATCCAGGCCAGTGTGCGTGGAGATGCGCTCGTCAAGTGCGTGGAACATCATTAATCACAGTGTGAGCTAGCCCTATTTTTACTGGGGTATGCACTTCACCCTATGTACGCTGAACATGCACGAAAAATGCCAACTACAGCGGTGTCTGGAGTTGGTGTACTGCCCAAGATAGCAGTATGTTACTATCGTAGCCTTTTTTTCTACTGAAGACATTGGTTTCATCAGGAGCGACATGCTCAAGTGGATGCAAGGAGCATTTACCAGAGCTAAGCCGAACGAGATTTAGGTTGGGCCATGGGAGTATTGTCAATATTTGGCTCAAGAAAAGCCTAGTAGTCTGCTACCGAAGCTTGCAATTGCTGTCTTATCGGTAGCCGTCATCACTGCGACGTGCGAACGTCTTTTTTAGTGAGCTTGGTCGGATTCACAGTGCGTTACGCAATCGAATGAAATCAACTAAGGCGCTCGACATTCATACTGTTGCGCAGCATGTTCGCCAGCGAACCTTGAAGAACGCTGATCGAGATCCCAAGAAAAAGCTATTGATTTTTCCGCTGGAGCGTGAAATTCTTCGTGATGCACACAGCACAATGTTTACTCCACAGCACAATGTTTACTCCGTCCCCACAAAGAAACCAAGACGCAGACCAGCTTGCAGAGGGTAGCGATGAAGAAGATCCGGGAGATGGCGTTAGTGATGCGGCCACTCTGTTGCTTTGGGGTGAGTACTTAGACGAGATGTTTCAAGATGAGGAGCTGGATACCGTCTTTGCCGAAGCTGAAACGAGCTCAAGCAGTACTTGTCGTGCTGATCAAGCTTTTGAAAAAGCTGACGAATTTGAGGAAATCGCTGCAGCGGTCATTCACAAATTTCCTGCGGATAATGTTCCAAACTTCCCTCAAGAACTAAAGCTGTCTGGATTTAAAACCCAAAATGCTACGCTTAAGGAGCTTTTTGGCATAATGACAGTGTAGTTCTTTACGAGTTTTGTCTCTCATTTTGACAGATCCTATCAATTAATTACATTGCGGCAAACCGTGAGACACAGCAAGGCACTATCTTCCGGAATGAAAAATGAACTACGATAGGTGGCTTCCATTTCATTCGAATCCTAGGGTCATTTTCCGCTACTGAGCTAGGGCGAGGAGACTGAGTTGAATTTTGGCAATATGATGTGCATATAACCTGACCAAAAGATGTTTTTCTGTCTCCCAGTATTTGTGTGCTGCCTTTATCTCAAAGCTGCGACTGCCAGTACTAGTTATCTGTAGAAGGGATCACGACGCGAATCTGAGCTAGTGATTTCGAAGTGGGCCCTGCAACGTTGATTATCGCAGTGTTACTGGTCATATCGATTGTTCAATAGCCAAGAGCCGCCGCTTTGCGACGGGGAGTGCATGCCTACTTATCGTTGTGTTCTGCCTCCGTTCTACTCGCTACGGGCCCACCTGTCTTTCGCACCTTGATAGTCGCTGCATCCAGTGTTCGCGCTGGAAAAAAAGGGACGATGAATCAATAGATAATAGCATCGAAACAAAGAAATTGATAGGAATTGCTGATTTCAAAAGCGAAATGCAGCAATCCTTTATATTTCTACACACATGCCATGTCTCGCACTTATCGTCCCCTCACCACCGTTACACGTCGATGCCGATTGCTTAGCATCTCCTTGATCTTAATCTTCGATAACACGTAGCTATGCTCTCTTTGCTGACGTAGTTAACGAGCTTCTTGTGGACCATCGCCTCGGCTGCGAGACCTCCTTGAATGCATGCCCTTGAACAAAGCGAAGTACCAGTTGGTTGTGGTAGACCGACAGAATGCTGCCGCCAAAGGCCTTCAGGTCTTTAACGAAAAACTTAAAGTCCTGCTTCCAACTTGGACGTGAACCCCTGGCTAACATGACCGTGCAGTTTGATAGAGCGATTGGTTTGCGAGCTGGTCACAAGCCCGTAGGTATCGTAGACTTGTGTGTGAAACCCACGCTTAGTCGTATACTGGTCCAGCTGCGTCTAACCTTTTTCGAGACCGAGTCTGCGTCTAACCTTCTTCGAAGCCGAGCCCACTTCCAGAGTTGCCACCTTTTATCAAATGACCGCGATTTGGAGCCAGCTATCTACGTACCAAGGTCCTTATCTGAGCTTGGCACCACTTTTTCTTTCGTTCTGCGTGTCGCTGTCGGTAGCTGAAGCCTTCAGTCACAAAATGCCTCTCACTCAGCACTGCGCGAATGTTGTTGATTTCAGTGCTGCAATCTTAATACTGCTGAGCGTTCAGAACGCTCTCGGTATTACGCTTCTCTCAGAGTCACGCTCTGATACCTCGTCTGTGTAATGAAGACTTTGAAATGAAAATTGCAATAAACAAAGTCGTTGTTTCTTAATTCCGGTATGATTTAAATAAATCACCGCAAATACGTGCTGGCCGTTAATAATAGTAAAGTCCTAGTGACATAGGTAAGGGCCAATCGGTACGGCTGGACTTTACTCTTCTGGCCGAAATCATTGGTCTTTGCCAACACTGGTCTACAGGCGGCTCAGTATCGCCTATAACGGCCTATGGGCTGAGAAAATTGACAAGCAAATTACACTCGAGAGCCATGCGCTCTGTATCAGGCAAATAATAAAATTAAGCCGAACTTGACTATTATACGGATAAATTAAGTGTCTGGATACTTTTTAAAATTGGCATCCCGTCACGTCTGAGCGCATTTCATTGGGCATCCAACTTCCAATGAAATTCTGCCGTTTGGCAGGCCAGAATCTCTCTTTCAGTCGGTGATACACAGCCACATATAGACTACATCGTACCCGACATTGAGGTCGAAACCCTACTTGCTCTTTTTTCGACGATACTGCGCAGACCTTAGGATGGTTGTCTCAAGTTGCACTGCCGCATGCAGCGTGTACACACGGCGCCACGTCAGTCACCCCCCCCCCCCTCCAACCTCCCTATATGACGGTGTAGCTCAATAAATACAGCGCAGGGTCTTGCCCCGAGAATGTTGGCTCGACTCCAACCGCTGTTATTCTGTGGTTTGTGTATTGTTGTTTGCCTGGATTGTTGATTACCTCGAGTACGTCCTGTGTGTATCCAGGGGCGGGATCCCTAATTGCTGCGGTCTCGAGCAGGCGCGGGTGGCGCTCAATCTTGCTGTTCAGGACTCCCGCGCGGTGGAGAGTGCAGAGGTGCTTGAGGACGGCGGCTGAGCCGCGCGATGTGATCTTCCGCTCGGCTAAAAATGCAAGAACTGCTTTCTCCGCCCGTTTGGCCAAGTCGAGAGCCTAATCGCGGTAGTCATGCGCTGTCGTGTAAAGCTCGAAGCCGTCGTCCAAGAAGGGTTTCATGAAAGCCGCAAACAGCTTCGCGTCCGACTTCTGCTGCTTTGAGATGAGTGCTTGCCAGAACCTTGGCTCCTGCGCGTATCAAGCGAGCCACGAAGCATGAATGTGAGTGACTGATGATCTGAGCTGCTTCTTCTTGGGCTCACTGGCAGCTTTTTCTGCAGTGTCTTGGTGGTGGCGCTTGTGTTTAGGATGCATACGATAGTAAGCGAAGCGCACGTCGACTGCGCGACGCTCCACAGAGGCCCGACATAGTGACGATATATCTGACCAGCGAGTGACGTTGAAGTCGGTCGACAGCTGGGGCAGTTGGTGGCAGACGTGGGCAACGATCTTCGGCTGGAGGCACCGGACCGAAGTCGAAAAGGATACATAGTGTGAGGAGTCGGAAGGGAAAAGATCGCTCAAAAGAGGTGACACAAGGACGGACTAAAAGAACAAAGGAGAGGCGACAAGGGGCCGAAGGAAAATCAGTCATTAGGGTAGGGTAGACCTCGTAAAGAGCACGGGACGACCGGTCCTGGTCGCCCAACGCTCAGTTGCAATCTAGCCAGGAGGAGGCAAGGTTAAGCAGCTAATCGTAAGCGTGAGGTTCTGCGGGGCCGGCCTCACCCAACACTGAGAGGAAGACTTACAGAGAGTGTCATGCATGATGGACTCCCCTCGCCCGTGGGTACAACTACAGGATCGTTGTTCACCTTGGCCTCGAGTGCGTCCATGCGCTGACCTTAACACTGCGCGGGCTCGATTAAATGGTTAATTACAGCGGCTTGGTGTCGAATAGGCTTCCGGTCGCGGGTGGCTTCGGTTTGCCTGCCGTCTTGCGAGGTTGGTTGTGCTTTAGTGCTGCTGCTAGATTTGTCGCAGGGTGACGCTATGGATACCAAATGCGACGACCATCCAAACAATTTTGCGATGGAGCTGCCACTGGGAAGGACGCATGCTTCGATGGGCTTGGCGACTGGAGCGTCGGGGCTGAGCTCCTTAAGCAAAGGATAGTGGCGCAGCACACACGAGGTAAGAACATCAAGAACGGACCGGTTGACAGTATGGCTTGTGGACCCAAGGTCTTGTTTGGTAGTGAAGAGAATACGCTGAGCAGCTTCGATTTTGGTGCGCGTCTGCGAGTCGAAGGACTTGAGCTTCTGGGGTACCACCGGTGCTTCAGCGTCGTGGCCACTAAGTATCTTGCAAATATTGTGGTCCTCTGCGCTGATGTTGAAGATGTAGTTGAATCCTTTATTTGTTGTTGTCATGTTCCAGTCGCCGCGGTCGAAGATCCGGCGAGCCGTGAGCTGACCACAAGCGTTCGCGTGCTGAGCGTCGCCGCGATGAAACGAGTGGGACGTAAGTGCAACCTCGATACCAGCCGGCTTGGTGATGCGATCTAATACGCGGTCTACATGGGCAAAGATGGTCGGGGTCGTGTCCAAGCCAGAAGTCAGCGCAGCCAGGCCTTGCGTCGTCGTCGGATGGTCAAGCATCTCCAACAGCGGCACGTCTGGGGCCAGCTCGATGACAGCATGACGTCGCTACTCGGGCAGGTTGTCAATAACGCTTGCGGACGGGGCTACCTAGGTGAGAAGCGCCAGTGTGACAGCGAGGAGGGGCACGTGGCAAAGCTCGCGTCAGGGAAGATCGACAGGCCCTGCTCTACGGATGTCTTCATCCGGATGAAGCGAACGAAGAGCACCTTATCCGCGTCGCCGAACAAGTTCAGCTTCCGGAGCAGCGCAAGGTCGGACGCTCGGCTGAACAGATACCACAGCAGGGAGAGTAAGGCAGCGTCTTGGTAGTCACTTGGACAACTAGTGTTAGCGTCAAATGCAATATATAAGCATTAATTTTAAACCACCCTTTGAGCACGGGGGGCTTTAATGATGAAGCCATCACCATCTCGCTTTATTAAAAAAATGTCCAGTGTTTTCTCCGTTTTAAGCAGCCAAGCCTTAAGTGCGGGTCTGTGCCGAGGGAACTGTTCGAGTAGCCATAGTTTAGCCTGCCGGTAGTATTGCATTAAAGTGTTTCGAGCCAACGGCTTGCCTTTTTTGCCCTCATTAAATGCAAGATACGTACCAAGCTTATCCATCACTGGTACGAAGCACTTTCCAGTATCATCACGCTCAATGCGAGTTCGTACATTTTCATCACTGACATTCTCAGTTTTTAGAAACTTCTTAAAAGTTTCCACTGCTGTTGCCTTGGCTCTGTTTGTGTTTCCACACTCTAGCTCCGCTAAGCTCATTGCGCTTATCGAATAAATGCAAAATTTGCAAGTGATACGATGTTGACTTGCCTACTTAGTGGAGAAACATATTTTTCGTATCGCTCCTTCCCGATACGTCGGAAAGGCTGGATTGTATGACTCACCTAACCTCGCACTGTCTTATTGGTCAAAAATACATATTACCGAGATGTGACTGGACAATTATTTGTGCCTTGATGACGATTGTGTGGTGTAGGGATTTCCAGATTCGACCATATGCCAACCTACTTTAGGTCAAGAATCTGCTCGGTCTGATAACCCAGAGCTTAGGAGCAAAGGATCACGGTAAGTACTCGGCGATCTGTCCGGATATGCTATCCGGATAGCCGCTGAGCTCAACGGTCGCCCGAACTCAGCTGAAGGGTCGGTAGAGATCCGTAAACGACTACATTTCACTAGATATTTGTATAGGAAGCATAGGATTAAATAGGGGGAGCCAAAAAGGCTCCCAGAAGATAACAGAGCAGAATTTTCCTAGTCCAAGACACGTGTACACTTTTCCGGTAAGTCCCTGCATAGGGCTGGATTATGCCTGCCGTCAGTACTCGAGAGGCATAGCTTGTAGGGTATTGACTGGTAGCGCCAAGAGATTAGGTCGGTCCGGGTAGGACAAAGTCTCGCTACGCGCGAAAGAAAGCCCCGCATACTCAGCGGGCCGGTACGTCGGATAGCCCGGGTGCCGTAACACTTCTAGCCGAGCAGCCTCTGCGCTCGGTGACCTGTAAAAGCGCTCGCGCGCCGTCGTTTATCCTTTGGTGGAGGGCACAGGGTTGTGAACGAGCTCAGCCGAACCAAACTCGGCGGAGCCTCGGAAGTGATCTGGCTTGGTTAGTTGGAACCGAGTGGAAGCGAGCCACTCGTCTGTCCCGGAAGGGCCGAACCGCGAGGGGACCACCCTCTGCGCAGGCCATACAACCGCCGACCTAACTCGGCGATTTGTTGTGGTTTGTGTAAGGAATCCACATCTGACGGTATTTGTGTGTTCTACTACACCACAATTGGCTATTTTATTCCATACAAAATTCAAGTTAGATCGGATGCATTGTCACATCCAACCATATCACAAAAACATTAATAGCCATATAAATGAACATACTTCGGTGTCTATCATTTTAAAGTGCGGTAGCACCTCTAGACTCGCACTCTAACAGCATAAACGCAAGCTCACTACTAAAGCAGCGGTTTTTGCACGAAAATTTAAATAAACGAGAATCCTGGTAAACTGAATGAAATAATCAATTTTGCTAAAATATGTGATTTCAGTAAAAAAAAAACAGATTCGTGAATTTCTTCGCCTCTTTTTATTTTGTGCTTTTCTTACATAATTAAAATTCTAGCAGCTCTTTAATGCTTATTTGCTCTCTTTTGCTGTCGAGACGCCCTCGGAGAATCTGAATAGCCAAGCTGAACGATAATTTATTTACGGCTGGCAATCACCATTTTTTTGTAGTAGTTGTGTACAGCAATACTGATACTACTATAAAAAAACATTCCGACCGACCCAGTCTCTAATTCTCTTCCTAATTCACACCACTTCTCTCCATACTTCAAACTTCTTTTCATCTAACGAGCATCTACATTTCTTGTTGAATCACCCGCAGTTCGTACGCAATAGCAGGCGCAGTCGGTCGTTCCGCCGGGTCTTCAAGTAGACATCGCTCCACCAGGTCTTTTAAAGCCTTTCCACACGTTGCTCGTACTTTGGGGTGCAGTTTTCCCGTCGCTACTCGGTGAAGAATAGTCAAGTCCGACATGATCTTGCCGTTTGAAGCACGAACGTTATCGTACGGGATCTGGTTCGTGTCCAGTTCCGTAAGCAGCGTACCAAAGCTGTAAATATCAGCAGCTGGGCCGTAATCGGAGTCGCCTCGAATAACCTCAGGGGCCAGCCATCGACCCGTGCCAACACCTCCAGTCATAGTCTTATCCGACGACCTGAATCGTGACGTACCAAAGTCACTCAGCTTGGCTTCCATGTCTGAGGATAACAACACGTTGTTTGACTTGAGATCACGGTGTACCAATGGCGGCGTGAAGGAGTGCAAGTACACGAGTGCTTCAATGACATCAATAGCGATATTAAACTTCGTAGTCGTCCAGCCACTTGGCGTGTTGGAATCTGCCAGATATCGTCGGAGATCACCTCCTTCCATGTATTCCAGCAGCATTTGTAGATCTGTTTCGACAGTCCAAGCAGCGCCGATAAGCCTCACCAGATTCGGGTGATCGAAGTTTGCGATAAGTTTGATCTCTTCCACGAAAGCTGCAGTGTGTTTCTTGGTCCGTCTCTCGGGTCGAAGACGCTTTGAAGCTAGTAATTGTAGATTCCTGTAGCGGACTAACCAAACCGTAGCGTAAGCTCCACTGCCAAGTGGTTTAAGATCCTTAATCGCAGATGCACGCAGCTGTAACGAGAGTAATTCGAGATCGTTCCAGATCGACATAAACCTCTGCGGTTTACCCTTTGAAACTGCCTCTTCCGTCGAGACAAAGGAAGGGATACTGGAGACAGCAGTGGCGTCAACCACAGCCACCTCGGTGTTGTCCATCTCATGCTGTTCATTTGTCAACGTCGGGATGCCCATAGACACGTCACTTGAGAGTCTTACCATCGGAATGTCCTCAAAAGATGACCCTCGGCCACGAGACTGTAACAATTGATGCCAATTATTTGTAGAGGAGTAATGGTCACTATATCCAACAGTGTCACTGGCGATAGAAACGTCCATTTTCTTGTGTTCTTTTCGTCGATGTAACACGAAAATGAATGCAGCGAATAGCACGACAAAGACGCCACAGACGATCCCCACAATCCAGCTCATTGAAGATGTAGACGAGGACGATTCGGTCGTCGTCGTTGTAGTTGAGCCATCAGAGGCAGCTGAGCTGGACGAGACGGTACCGCCATTGGTCGTAGCACTTGTTGTCAATGAGCCATCGTCGGTAATACACACGGGCACATTGACGATTTTGCCCTCTCGTGAGCAATCCAAATCAGTACTAAAGTCGGAGGTGGAGAGACCTAGAGTCTCGAGACTGTTTAAGAAGTTCGCCTGTTTACTGGTGAACTCTCGAGATGCTAGTGGGTTTCCGGTCAAATTTCTGAATGCAAGAAATGTTAGATTTTTTTAAGAAAAAAATAAAGATACAGAGCAAAAACGTACAGTGTCTTCAGACTGGAATAACTGTAGACAGCGCTGGGAATACTAGTCAAGTTGTTGCCACCGAGGTACCTGCGAATTGACAGAAAAAATGTTAGCTATTTAAGTTTAAGTCTCACTAAAAAAATTCTTCAAGTTACTTACAATTTCTCCACTTTTGAGAAAACCGCCGAGAAGTTGGCGAGGTTATTGTTCTGCATGCTCCTGCAATAAAAATAGGGTTTAGAAAAAAAATGTACACCCAGCGATTTCTCCTCAGGGCATCCGTACAGTGTTGTGATGGAGTCAATTCCATTGGTAGCGTCCACTGACGTGACGTAGTTGTTGTCCAGAACTCTACACGTCGAAGAATAATAGCAACATGTTAGCAACAGCTTCAGATGTCGTTCTCATAAGCCACTTACAGTTCCTTCAATACTTGTAGAGAGCTCAGCTTCGCGGGGAAGGTCGAGAGAAGAGTGTTGCTGAGGTCTAGAGACTCCACCGACGCCGGAACGAACGCCGGTAATGTGTCGATCTGGTTCTTGAGAGCGAGATTTGTGAGCCCTACTGTGGTCACTGACGTCGCGGACGAAATCACATTCGAAGATAAAATAATGTTGGAGACCTTGCCTTTGGGGTATTCCATCGCAGTCGTCCCTCCTGTTGCGATACTATATTATAAAAAAAGCATATAAAGTCAGCATAAAAATAAGAAAACCTAGCACCTTTTACCAACAAGACACTCGACGTACAAAGTGGTGACTGCAGAGGACACGCTTATCCTTCCTAGCGCTGTAACGTCATCGTTCGAGACGGAGGGCCAGGAGCTCGTCTCATCCGGATAACCTGCCAAGTCGGACTGTGTGTACCCGCCTGCTGCGAGTTCCTCTTCGCTTTTGTATGTGCCGAAACCCACCAATACGACCAATTTCTCCGAGTTTTTATCCACACGCATGCACTTGTACGTGCAGACTCCGTCCGTCTCACAGCCAGAGCCTGAGCAGCTCGAAGCGGACATGTAACCCACACACAGATCGTAGTCCCCACAGCCTGTACAGTCCGCAGTCGTTAGAGTCGTTGGGCCGCCAGCACATGCAGCGTACACGCCACGGTTACGAGCGATCAAGTACAGTAACCCCACGACCGTCAAGCGTCCGACCAAGCACAACGGCGCCACCATTTGCTAATGTCGATGGGCTTGTCCGCCGTCTGAAGGCAACAGCGAGGAGCTTCTAAAGTTTCGATGGAGAATGCAAGACTATGGAGTGGAGAGACAGTGGCTTTGACCCAAGAGACAGAGAGCGGCCACTTGAAAGTAAAAGTGCGTCCGACTGGCGACCATGCAGATGGAAGGGAACAAGCGGTGTCTGAATCCGCCAATGTGGGGCTGCCATCCGGCTGCCAAACAGTCTGGTCAACTCCATGCTCGATTGCTGAAGCGCCATCGTCTGTTGTTTGTCCGGATGGCTGTAAGTGAAGGGAGGCTTTAAAATACATGTATTAATACAAACCTCGTCCAACGCCGGCATGTCAGTTCCTATCATACCCGATCAACTCTGTCAACTTCACCAAGATGATTTCGTGTCGCCCAGCCCGCAGCCTTTCCCGTTGGTCTCACGTCACTGACCCTACATGTATTGATCATCAATAGGGAGCCATGAGCCGTCAATTTGATGGTAAACTGGAGCAACCTGGATCAATATATTTATACCGATATATAAATTGCAGTAACACGCCACCGTGTCACAAGGTTCAGGCTTCCGAAGCGATGTCTACTGTGACGACACCCCTAGGGAAGGCAATCCTACATGTACTAGGATTGCCTTGCAACGAACAAGTTGCAAGCTTACTGCAACTTGTCAAAATGAATCAACCATTTACTGAACCTAGAACCGGTACTTCAGCAATGATCAGCAGTACCGGTAATAATCGTTTCTGACATAAATGCTACATTGTGGTACCCTTTATTAGGTACAGTTGCCGCCATCACCTTCGCCAGTCACTGCAATTAGCTCTTGGTAGCTTCGATGAGTGGGTTTGAGCGCATCTTGGCTCGCGTAGGTGGCGATGCGCTGCGTTCGTATTGCTCGTCGGCCATTGAGGACGAGCTGCGCAACTTGCAGACGCGCATGAAGACTTGTCTAGAGAGCGTGGAGCAAGCCATGAAGGTCCAAGAGGCCGTCGCCAAGCTGGATGTGCCAATGAGCCGCGAGAACGCGGCCACATGTGCCGAGATCAAGCGTAAATATGCGAAATTTAGCGCTGATCTCAAGGGCTTCGTCGAAGAGCAACGCAAGCTGCAGGCTGAAGCCCCCGAAGCCAGTCCCGACGACCAACAGAAGCAGAGCGAGCAGCAGAGTCGCGAACGCGTGACCAAACTACTTGGCAAGATCCAGCACCGCATCACACGCAAGCGCAACGACGCGTGGATCGACAAGAACTTCGCAGACGTGGAAACTATCGCAAGTATCATCGGAGACGACGACTTTGCGGGTCCCGACAAGGCTCTACGCAACGAACTGGTGCTCGTATTGGACCACTTGATCTCGGCTGTGTTGCTCAGTCCGCTGACCAACCAAAGTACACTGGAGAAAATGGAAAAAGTACTCAAGAAATTGGCAGATGTCCACGATGATATCGACGAGTACATCAAGTAAGTGAGGGCGGCTTATGAGATGTGATTAGAGGGGGAAACTGATAGAATATTATTTGTTACAGGTCATCCAGTGAGCTTCTCACCAAGAAGAGAGCAGCGTATACCTCGCAGAATGAGTCGAATAATATTGTGGATGCGGCGGAGGAGCCGAGGATGAAGAGACAGCGCGTGGAGAATACGCCACAGTCCGACTTCTTGGTCAAGGTGGAGCGTACTGCCGCTGCTGTTGCTGCAGCTGAAGCAGCAGGTAGCGACGCGACGTACGAGGTGTTTGTATCGGATCTGCCATGGGGCACCACCAAGGAAGCGGATGTAGCGTCGTACTTTGGCATCGCTGGCGCCGTCGTGTCCGTGCAGATGCCCACGATGGCTGACGGTAGCACTGTCGGAGTCGCAATTGTGCGTTTCGCCACGTTGGAAGGCATGACGCTCGCTCTGCGGATGGACGGCTATCCATTCAACGGCAAAAACATCCGCGTGGTCGTACACAAGTCCAATTGAGGGCGGAGACCGCAGTACGTATCATAGATCTTAGAAACACCACGACCATAAGTAGTCGATAGCCTCATTGACGTGAAGCATTCACTTGGTTCTGTTGAGGTTTTTACCCACGTGGGATGCGAAGTAGCTCGAGAACTTCGTCACGACTCTGTAAACAAGATAACAGTATCAGCGTTTATTGTCAACTAACGTGACGGCAAGTATATATGGCACTTACGGACGCAGAAAGGCAGGCAAGTCGTCCAGCAGACACTCGAGCTGTTCAACGACCGCTTGTAAGTCGGACAGTGCTCGCCGGATCTTCGGTCTTATAGGTAGCGCCATACCCACAGCGATGATGATCTTTATCGCTACTCCAAGTTCATCGGCTTCCTCCTCTGTAATGCGCTTGTGCGCGAATAAATATCCATCCAGCTCGGTTACGGTCAGGTGTTTGTGGTCGATCAAGTAGGATCGTAATTGTTCCACAACAACTGGGAACTTGGCCAATTGGTTCATAGTATTCGCGCTCTGAAGCTGCGTCACCAGTTCCTTACAGGGAGAGAAATCGTCGTCCGAGTCGGAATCAGGGACGTCCAGTTCAATTGCTATCTCTTCCGCATCTGACATCTCCATTACTGATTGCTCCGAGTCGGAAGTGTCCAACACTTCCAACTCAATAGGAGATTCTACCGTGTCTTGAGCTCCGGTCTCATGCATGGCTTCAACCGGCTGATTGTCAGGATATGTCATCGGTTCCTCTTTGATACGCACCGTGGCGTCACGAGTTAGTCTCACCAAACCGCACGGCAACTCGTCACTTTCACTCATCACATCTACATCCCTCTGCTCTTTCACATTAAGTTCGGTTCTCCTCTCAGCCGCCACCACCTCAATAACCTCCACATCGGAATCTCCATTCTCCTGTTGCTCCTGTGCTGGATTCTCAGCTCGTCGCTCTACTGCTTCCTCACTGTTTCGATCGTCTATTGCTGCATCCGACCTCCTCGTACCGAGATCTATAACTTCTAAACACTCCACATCGGATCCCTCCTGCTGCTCGAACGTGTCTCTCTTCTTCGCTGTCGTCGTGTTGCTATGGTTTCGATTTAGTTTATCTTGTAGGGATCCTCTCACTTCCACCAAGACAACCTCGTCCTCCTTTTCGGGTTCAAGTGTCTCCTTGGCAAGAGGTCTTTTTCTTTTCTTCGCTCTCTTGCCTTTTGCATTCATCTCTAGCGCATCCACTGCGGTCTCCAATCTGCTATGTAGTTCCTCGATGCTTTTGAGCTGCGTCTGCAGCGTAATAGGCAGCCAGTCGCCACTTGGTCTCAAATGATCCGACGCAGCCTGCAGCTGCCTCAATGCTGTCAGTGATGTCAATGCGTGGCGGACTTGGCGGCTAACGGACTTGTATTCCTTCCGTACCACCTTATGCAGCTGATTGTGCAACTCTGAGCGCTTCACGTCTGCCAGGATGGACGCATACACAGCCTCGTCGCCATCCCCTGTCATTATTGCTGGAGAATGTTCTTGATTTTCAATCTCGTGTGCATAATTGGTGTGGCAGCTTTTCACTTTTTAAATTTCTTAGAAGCTGATTGGTCTCTGAAAAATATTGCCCCTGGAGGCAATTCATTCATTTTCATTCTTTGTTTGAGAGAGGTTTCTATATCTGGCTCAGCCACAACGGCGGATGCTACGGCACCGGCACAGGAGACTTCCAACGGCAAATGTATTCTGAGCGACAGGTCCGAGATGCTAGTCGGCTGCGGAGAAATTCTGCACTACTCAGGCTATCAATGCATTACGCTGGCCGTTGCGACCATTCATGCCGTGAAATATTCCTTTGCTTTACAAGCTTAGCAGAATCAGTTTGAGCCTCAGTTGGTCAACGGACTGTGGTTAAGCTTCAACTGGAAGATTGGACGCCTTAAAATGAGTGTGTCACTCGTTTTGCTATTGTATACTGAGACTCGGCCCCTTGAAACCTTCAGACGAATATGAAAACGAAACGACCAAACTCCTTCAGGCCCAAAAAGCGTGCCTTTAGTTCACGACTTACAAACGAGGCAACAAGCTGGCAACGGGGTATAGTGTGCTCAACTACAAATCGATTAGCATGGTTGGTCGACGCTCGCGTAGTGCGCATAACGGGTAAGCTAACACAATTGGTTTCACCGGTTGAATGTCTCCTTGCTTACGTATCATCTCTAGGGACTTGACCGAGCCGTTGCACTCTGGTGATGCCTCGGACAGCAAAAGCGCGAGTCATCGTGAGTCGAACTCAATGGTGCGTCGATCGCAGCGCAAAGGAACCGCTGGGAGCGTCGGCAGCGATGACTTTGCTGCAAAACTACGCATCGACTTTGATGGCAACCGTAAGAGCTCATTGAAGCAGCAGCGCTTCTCACGTAAGTTGGTATTGCAATGGTAGATGGATAGTACGTATTCTAATCAACGCTTGGGTCTACTACTACGCAGGAGAGTTCCGATTCAATGCTCAGTTGTCATTACGAGTTGCTGTTGGAGTCCTGATTGCATCGGCCATTCAGACTCGTGTCTCGGATTATGATCCATCCGATGCCGATGGGAAGAAGTGGGTGTTATTTCCTTCGTGGTACTATCTCGGCGGCTTGAGCTATTGCGCGATTGCTGTAATATTCACTACGGGGAAGACGATTGGTAGCACGCTCATGATTGTGTGGCAAGCCTTTCTCGGCGTGGGTATGGCACTCGTGTACAGCATCATTCTTTTCGCATGTATGGATGTGCATACACAAGATACAAACGCAGACGACCCTTACGACGGCTACACTGAAATTGACCAAGCTTTCTCCTCCAATACCTACTGGGTGAATCTACACGACTTCTACACAACGTTACCGTGGATGATAATCTTCACGGTGGCCCTTTTGGTATGTCCCTTTGCTGCGACGACCAAGAAATTTGCCATTGCCAATAACCTCTACTTCAGTAAGGACCTATATGGTTAAGTTAGCAAGCTGTTCTGTACTAACATCAGTTTTTTTTCAGTTCTCACGATAATCAACCCGGCGGACCCAATCGGAGGCTCAGGGCTTAAAACTTCTGATGACCCAAGCTTCCGCACAGCAAATATTTTACACAACCTGGCGGTTTATTTCCTGATAGGAATTGTCGGCTCGTTGGTTTCCCTTGTCATCATGTTCATCCCATACCCAATCTTGTAAGTTTTTTATTTTATTTTTTTACTGAAATTACTAACTTTTTTCTTGATCTTTAGTGCGATTAACCGACTGCGCAAGGATTCTAAACGAGCAGCAGAAGACGTTCTTGACTTACTCAATATCATCATCGACTCGTACTGCTTTAAGAACAAGAACGTGGATCACATGAATTTCCTCAAACTGAAGCTTCAGCGCAAATTTGATGCCGCCGCTGCCCGTCATCGTCGCATGGAAGCTCTGCTGGATGATGCGTGGTGGGAGCAGTCATTTGGATTACACTACTTGCTCGGCTTTCACCGTCCTATCATGTTTAATTACGTGAAGCTTGTGGGTTCGTTGATCTCGGACTTGCGCACGCTTAGCTACGCGATGCAACTCGAGAAATACGACCACCTCCACTTCACGTACATGAAGGTGTTGCAGCGCGAGATTTACATTATCCAGACGCGGTCGGGTGATCTTCTTCATGAAATTGCGTGCGAAGTACAATCGGCCTCACGGGGTAAGTTATTTATGCCTAACATTTTTTCTTTTTACTTTTTGCTAACAGGTTTTAAAATTTTGTAGAGGTGCGACTTGTGTCAATTTCTAAACTCGAGGCTCAAATGGAGACAACACTGCATCGCTACCGTTCGACGCAGAATCGAACACTGCGCTCGTACCCCGTTACACTCGAGGAAATGGCGGGCAATGTGCCACTGAATATTTTCCTCTTTTCACTCAATTCCTTCTGCAGCACGATGATCGGCTTCCAGGATATTCACAATAGGAAAATCTACACGGACGCCCATCGAATCCGGTCATTTCTCGTGACTTCGGTCAGGAATTTCTTCAAGGTGGCACACTACACCAACGGACATGCGATGCTAAGTGCATTCAGAGGCTCCGTGGCAATTATTATCGGTATCTTCTTATCGGTTTACGTCTACGGCTTCAGCGCGACAGTTCCTAGCACGGTGGCATATGTGCTAGGGAACTATCTTGGGGGATCATTCAGAGCGACAGTAAACCGCGTCGGTGGAGTCGTGGCAGGCAGCGTTGTACCCTCCGTGTTCCAGTATTTTATTGCTCAGATCTGTGACCCACGGTACCTCAATGTGGCTCTTTCGAACATTGTCCTATTCGTCTGGCTGTGTATCTCCATGTACGTCTGCTACGCTGGCGGGTACAGTTCGTACGCTGGTTTAGTATCGGCTTTTGTATCGACGGGGATATTGATGCGGCAGTCGGACTTGTGCTACTCGAATGCATCGGACAACGCGTCATCCATCGCCATCAGCTCGTACTCGAGCCTCGCACAGACCTCGGTAGGCATCGTGCTGTTCATCATTGTGGAGCTTCTGATCTGCCCCAAGAGCGCCATGTATTTGCTTCGACGGAACATTAAAAAAACACTCAAGCTACAACTCGAAGCCTTCCAAGTGCTCTTCGGTCACCACTTGACAAAGTCCGGAACTATGGACGCCCAGACGATGGAGCATCTCCGAGAGATTCTACAAGTCAAGATCCCTGCGAAACATGCGCAACAAGCGTCTCTACTGGCGGAGGCTCAAGCCGAGCCGCTCATGTGGAGACCTGCGTTCTCGACTCTGAAATATGAAAAAGTGCTCGAGAGCTCACGTCGACTACTGAACAACAACACGCTACTCTTTAAGCTGGTGCGGTGGTTCAATTTCCGCGTCGAGCACAACCGAGTTGAGCTTAATAGTGTCGACATTCGGGACACCGAGGCTTCACTAGAGAGCAAGAGCACAAGTACAAAGTGGCAGCTCGCCACGAACCAATTCCAGACTGCAGTGACCGACTCGTTCAAGACGTTGAAGATGCTCTTTAGCGATGCGTTTCTGTACTCGGAGCCGGACCAGACCGCCATCTTCATGCAGATGAAAGAGGCCTTCCGTCTGGCAGACAAGGACTGTAGCGGCGAGATCGACGCGGACGAAGTTGCAGACATGCTGGAGACCATCTTCGCCCAGTCTGGCGCGGTCAAGCAAGGCGAGATCCACAAGTACGTAGAGGAATTCATGCGTGTGGTGGACAAGGATAGCAGCGGCTTGGTGTCGTTCGAAGAGTTCGTCGAGGCGCTGGAGAACGGCCTCAAGCTCGAGGTGGAGGTGTACACGCGTCGCAAACCCAAGGCCCCGGCTCTGGTAGCCAGACGGGAGCATGTGCTGGCAGCGATCAATGAGAACGAGGACGACGCGGGCGATGCGAGCGAGAACGACGTACCGAAGGTCGTCAACGTGGACTCTGGCGACAGGATTCAGTCCAAACTTCCACCTTCGGACGTGCAGGAAGCGAAGGTCAACAGTTCTCGAGCCGCGATGCCGTCACGTGAGAGTTATCGCCACTCGTCTCAAGCTTCGTCCGTTGAGAAGAGCAAGAGAGCCTCGTCGGCTGCGTCATCGGCTCCTGCCATGTGTCGCGAGCACGACGTTCTGAATGTGGAGGAATTCTCCAGTAGCGACATCGCGGCGCAGATGAAGACTGCGTACGTGGAATGGCTGCTGGAAGAACGTCGGTACGAGAAGGTGTCGATGGAGGAGCTCTTGCTACTCAACTGTCTTGTCAGTGGGGCGGAGGGTATTGCCAAGAGTCTCACAGAGATGGCCGAGATCGTCGTTGCGTCCTAAAGACAAGAAAGACAACACATAGATATCTGATGAACAGACTTACTTTTTTTATATAAAACCTAGATCGCTTTTTCTCAACCTCAAAGCGTCTTTGTAGCCTGGAAGGTCTTGACATTGATCCGAGCCTGCTTCATCACGCGCTTGTAGAGTTCCGGACGGTAACCGAGTGGGAACAAAATCTCGAGCAGCACGAACATCGGAGCGGTGATCAGAGCCTGGTCCGGGCTGTCGAAGAGCGCCGGTTTGCGACGCTCGAAGACGCCGTGGCCAATGAACTGCAGGATCCAGGCCGTGGCTTGGATGGCCAAGGCCACGTGCATACTGTGCACGTCCATGGCCTTGGCGCCCTCGACAACGAAATAGTTGGCAAATACGAAGCAGACGGAGATGATGGTGGCTCCCAATGTGCCGGCGTAAATGTCCAGAGCCATGTACCAGAGCATGTAGATGCCTGCGATGACGGCCGAGTAGTTTAGCAGGATGAACTCGCCGTAAGGAAGCGACGTCAGCAGCGCTGGCGTCTCGACTAGCGGCTGCGTGTGCGCGAGGATTATGAGTCCCGACACGAAGATGGGCCAGATGCAGGCCAAGTGGATGTACTGGTTGATTTTGTTGTCGTGGTACGAGAGGTAGAACGTCACCTGCTTCTCCAGGTCAAAGCGATCCGAAATGAAGCCCATCGTGGATACGGTTTAAAACTTTTGCGTTGCTTGCGCGGCGGAAAAACCAAAGTGATCTTGTCCAACCATTTTTCAAGAAACCACGGTCATTTTTGTAGTTTACGATTAAATGTCGGAAAACCGTTTATGGTTGGTTAAAATACAGCTATCTGCGTAATCCTCAGCTCATTTAATATTTCCGGCACTGTACAATCAGGGCTTTTGGTCATCTGATTTTTTAGAGCAATCGTACTATTTTGACTTTAAAAATAAAGATTAGCTCATTGTCTAAAAGCTAGTATGATATTCTAACATTAACTCCGAAATTTTAAACATATTTGATACAATTAATAATAATAGATTATAGTTTACGATATTCTTCCACTTAAGTACGCTTCTTGACCATGAATTGAGGGCACTATTTCGACCGGGCTCTAAGAGTGACGGCAGGCTTAGCCTGACGAGTGTTTGTTCTAGTATTCCACTGTGACACGACAAAGCCGATCGATATGGTAAGCCGCAAAAGGTTGCAGTAGTTTAAAGTCGACAGCTGTAACTGAACAGAATGTAATACAGTACTGTACCGGAATTTGGCATCGGTACCGGTACATGTAGCACTTAAGCCAACTACAGGGACTGCTAGTAGCAGAGCAGAATGCATGTACAGTGCTCGTCACTAGGCACGCGACTGTTTGTACGCGGAAATTTACAGTACATGCAGGCTGCATGATGCAGCTACACCATCGACTGTATTGGTGCTACTACTCATTCTATTAACAGTTGAAGGTCCAAATGATCACTTCGCAGCTTAAACCCGACACATGGACCTCGTCGCTGGACAATAAAGCTTTAATACTTAGTGCATCTAGGCTCGAGGTCCTGGAGCCTACTAGCTCAGCCTAGGCGCTCAAGTACTGTAAACTCTGACTATGTACTGTACTAAGTACTGTACCGGGACTGTACATGTACAGTCCGATGCCAGCGTTGTGAAAATCAACATGTTCGGAGTGATGATCGTTGATTCCTTGCATTTTATCTGTGGCCATATTCTAATGATCATTAGTTACAAAAGTAAATGCACTTCGAAAATTCGTCAAACATCTACCGTCGAGGGCGTATGAATTTGTATACCGCGCCCTGAATAAATGTAACGCGCGGACATAATTATACAGTCACACAAGCACGTGAATATATGCATACCGGTACCGGTATGCGTAAGCCACGTGTCGCAATCAGCGGAAGGCTGGTAAACACTGTCATTTGATTATTGTTGAAGTAAGCATCTCCGATGTGATGATGACTATCTAGTGGAATATAATTGCGCTATTTCACGTAGAGACTTTTTTTATACTGGTTGGTGAAAAATAACTACACCAGACTCTCAAATTTATCACTTCTTCTTTTACCATCTTCACAACACAAGCATCTTCTTTCTATACTCAAAACTTCCTCTCCACTATCGCCGCCTAGACCACTCTACTTCTGTCCTCACTCTCATACTGTACTGCTAACAACTCTGCGAAAATCATCCCTTCAACAGGCTATAAGCCCGACGCTTCCTACGGTAGGAAGCGTAGGAATCCTACCAATAAGGCGGCTCAAACGCAGAGCGCCACCTGTCTTAATAGGGCATGAATTCGACGGCCCCCGGCGCCTCAAGGCCAGATTGCCCTCTACGCCAGATAACGAGCTGCGCGCGGTGAGCAGAACGTCTGCCACGCGGTATCGAGCTAGAGGAAAATCTCCTTGGACTTCGCACCATACGCACTGCGTATCGATCCCGCTATAAGCGGCGCGTTTGGGTTGTAATTGCGCCCACGATGAAAAGCACTGCATATTGAGCTCGCTACAAGCGGAGTGCATGGGCAGAAATGCGTGCTGTAATATCGCCCACTATTATACGCACTCCATAACGAGCCTGCAGAGTAGTAATATCGCCCACGATAATGTTGGAATTATCATATTACTATCTCCACTGCTAATACAAACAATAATGGCAGTATATTAATAATGCCTACTACTGTAAGGGAGATTCTAAATTTAGGGCTGCCCTGAAAGAAAGTCACATAACTATTTGCACAGGGACACAAAACGAGACAGTTTCCAAAGCTTGTAACCTGAATTTTTATTGTATTTTTTGCGGCCAATGACCAATAGCATTCAGGACACGGCAACAGATTTTTTTGTCGAATCAGTTCAGGGCCGCATTTAACCTTGACTTCAGTATTAAAGTGTTCAGCTGGTGAAAAATGTCAAGCCATTCAAGCATAGGGTGAAATCACGCTTTATTTTAATGCTTATGCGTCTTAATATAAATTGTGAAGGATACATAATTATGCAAAATTGATCAAACGTCTGTCATTACCAAAACAAAATCAGAAACTTCAAGTGCTGACAGCTCAGTCGTTTAGACGGCTAGCTTATCAAGGGTCCATTATAGGAGCAGGGTTGTCGCGGGTTCGAGTCTACTCATTGCCGTTAATTTTCCGCACTGAAATGGTAAGTTATCAATCCACAAACATTGTGTAAAGCTTGCAACGAATATTTTTGTTGACTGGTTACACTACGACGGAATTGACAATATGCTCGTCTCTTGAGGGACTCCATAGCCTTTGACTTCGGTGGCGACTGCAAACATTCTGCGAGACCTTGTACATGTTCTGCTGCTTTCTGTAGATAGCTCCTGGAGAATTTCTTGCGTAAGTAGCCTTCCACACCTGTAACTCTTTTTCATTTTAAAGACTTCTTTTGCTTTGGCCGCAATTGCAGCACCTGTTTTTCAACGGTTGGCTTCACGTGAAGCCATGCTGCCAGGCGAGAGTGTCGAAGAGCTTTATTTCTATCATAAAGACCAAAGCGCTCGTGCATACACACCAGTGAAAGCGGAAAAATTCCGCAAACCTTAAATCCAGCCTTGAGATTTCTGCTGATAATTTTGCAGGTGGCCCAAACTGTATTTGCAAGTTCTATTGCGTTGGGTTTGTCAATCGAACAACAATTCTAATCGTCCTCGTCAACGACCTCCTTTATCAGATTGCACAGTTTCATTTTTAGTGTCGCAAAAACAGCAGCGCTCAGAGGCTACAATAGGTGGATGGCGTTCAGCAATAGCGGCCTTTTGACAGTTCTGGGTACCGAGTAAATGCCTGTGATTAGTAAAAACCTCGCTAGTCGTTCTTTATCAACATATGATTGGTGGGCCCAAACTGATTACGCAAGCTTTGTTAAAAAAAAATATTTTTTAATATATTACGTTGATATTTTATTAAATATGTTTGTCTCTATAGATAATATTAGGGAATATTTTATAAATTAACTACCAAGTGACCATTAGCCCTGCCCCTGTGACTGGACAAATGCGTTACCTTAATCAATTTTATAATTACATTAATTGAGGGACTTCTGTACTGCTCTCACTCTTCATTTCACCACGCCGGCACGCCGCAAGAGCGCTAAGATCATAATAATGAGGCTTAAACACCCGAGCTGTCAGTGCTATTATAAATGCGCAGCTTTCATGAGAGAAAAATCGATTGCTACACATGCGTACTTAGTACAATATAAACTACCGCGATGACTTGAAAAATAATACTATAGAGGTTCATATTATGGACCTCTTCCCTACTCCGAATTTGTAGGTCACCAAGGCCTTCTTTGGGGTTAAAACAGAGAAGTATGAGCCCAAGGTATCACCCGTATCCATGTACAAGGCTCAAGTCAAGGCTGAAGAAGAAACATCCAGCGATACTGCCACCAGCCCACAGCCTAAGAACGGTAAAAAGAAAGAGTTCAAACATTTTCCCACTAAGGCACGAGTGGTATTCGCCTCTAATTGCTGATCACCCAGATCACCGATCGCTCAAGAGGAAATACGAAAAACACCGTCAGTTTAGGGACTCAACACTGCATTTTCTCAAATAGCACCCATGTATAGCCAGGGCACCCCTGTGTAGCACCCAACGACTCGCTGGCAGTTTTTAATTGGCCAATTTTTTTGGCCAATTAAAAACTACCAGCGAGTTGTTCTACAAATATTTGCAAGCCTAGATATCGACCTCACTCGACGATGAGCGCGCAATTTATCGATGCGTTGGTGCAGCTAGTCGATCGGGTAGACTATGGCCCTCGGACGTACGACCTGCAGAAGATCAAGGCACGCATACCGTACAGCAAGGACCGATACGTGCTGGGCGCGTTCTCATGGGCGCGTGTGATGGATTCCGAGGCACCAGCACTGGTGTTTGCTGGCTCGTGTGACTTGGTGGCAGGGGTACGTGGGTATACACGTATTCCGAACGACCCCCAGCATATCTTTGACATCCTCGGAACAACCAACATTCGAGAGTTCGTGAAGGAGGGTGCAAGGGAGGAGCAAGAAGAAGGCCGATTTTGCCCCTCGGACCAATACAGCGTACACCTGCCAAACTACTACTCCAAGCTCGTGTTTCCGCACAACGAAGCCTATAGGTATAGGTCTGAATACTGGCTTCAATATGGAAACCGTGAGTCCCCCATACACGTCGGCCACGGGCGTGTGATTTCGTACCTGCCCCCGTGCGCGAAGACGGCCTTCAAGATTTGGGTGATATTTCCTCCGGCTTCTAAGGCGACCACATCCTTCAACTACGGGAACAAGGAGGACTCCTTGAATAGGATGCTACGTACGCCTGGAAGCTCCGTGCTTATCCAACGACCCGGCGATGTCGTGTGCTTGAATAACCTGGTGTTTCAATCGGTACTTCTCGTCTACCAGAAGGGCACTGCTGAAGAAGACAAATGGGGCGGTGTTTTTGGCAACGTTGTGGTTTGTGAAGTGGACCGCGTTGCGTCGTTTCGATATGCAACCAAGCTGGCATCAGGAAGCAAAAAGGATTCTGTTGGATCGTGGGAGTCTCTGCTAACAGCGTACTGTACGATGGAGGGACGTGTGTATGACCAGGCAAACTTCGAGCATGAGAAGAAGCTATTTTACAAGAAGTTGAAGCTACCAGCAAAGTCGGAGAAAGCTCGTGTAGGTGCGAGCGCGAAGAAAGAGAAGAAGCGGAAACTGAATGAGAAGCTAGCTGCCGTACGGGCTGCCAAGCATCAAAAGTGACTGCAGTACACTTTGCTCCTAATCAGAATTCTAATTTCTGATAATACATCTCTTTTCGCATCCTAACTTGCAATTTTAATTTGGGGGACTGTTTCGACGTACAGGTAGTTTTCAAAGTACTACTGCTTAAACTTGTACAAGCTACATTTTGTCAAATATAAGCTCTAAAACACTTGTAGTTACGGTCGCCCCTCTGAAACTATGGGTTTTTGCAGCGTATCTTGCACATTAACGATTAGTGGACCCAGCTTGTTTGAGGCAGCATCGAAATAGTTACCCGCACCATTTGTACAAGCCAGATATGGTCACTCTGTATAAACGACCTCCACGCGCTTTTTTATTTAGCGTAAAGATCCAACAATCAAACACTCTGACACAGTTATCTCGCAGCCTAACTTGCAATTTTGTTTATACATTCATTTGTAAAGTATTTGGTTAAGCTCAAGTAATCTCTTAAAGTTTCTACAGGCCAGATTTGGCGTCTGTATATTAGTCTTGGCACGACAGAGCCTAAGTGCGCTGCTTCTCCAATCTGGATCGGCCGCAGCCCTGGTGTTAATTACAATCAGAGAGTGTCAGTAAGGACTGATTCATTATTCACTGAGTCGTAACATCGGTTTGTACAAGCGGGAGAACAATAGAGCTGTCACTGAGGTCATGTCAGTGTGATTTTTGTATTGTTTTAAAATACAGCCTATCTTGACCGTCGATAAGCACACCATCTTTGTGAGTTGTTTGCATCAGTACGGTAGCTACTGAATCACTTCTACAAACCAGAATTCCCGTAACCGACTCTTGTTTAGGGATAACTACTTGAATTCATGAATGCGTTCATCGTTGCTGCAGCGAGTTTCTTTACTACTCATGAAGTATTGCTACTCTGTTTCTAACGCCGGACCAATTGCGCGCGGCCTACCAGCACTTCCCGATGCACCTCTACGCGACTTCGCCCCTCTGTAAACCAGCGTTTCTTTTCCGTGTATGTCAGTAACGCCGCGCACCTCCATAGCGTACAGCGTGTGGATGCAGGATCCGTACTTGAACCAAAAGTTGCACGGACACGAGCGGGATTGCATATCCACGGGCCAACCCGATGCAGGCATTCCCTGCGTCTCCATATTTGCAGTGAGCTTGTTCAGTTGTGAAGAGATCGGCAGGTCCTCTACTGTCTTCTTTCTCATTTCGTCATAAGCGCGGGGCGATGGATGACTAACAACACCGACTACGTCACGTGACGAAATGTCGGGGGGATTGGATAGCAGGAAAGCAATGCTATTTCTCGAGGTGGCGTACACTGACAGTAGCCCAGCTCTAGCCATCGCTTTGACACGTCGCACAAGTCTTGCGTCTGGCTCGCAAGTAGCTGTGAAGGGTCTTGCAGCGACACTTTCGCTTTCACATAGGACCCTCAGAAGTGGTATGAGAGCGCCAACCTTGAGCTTTCGACGCAGAGTGACGTCTCTTTTAATCGCTGCGTTGTAAGTCTCGCAGGGGTTATTGGTGGTTGCGTCACCGCTTGGTGTGTGGAAGCACTGCCACCGCCCGAAGCGTTGGTTCAACCACACTTTCGAAAAGTACTTCGAGAAGTCCTCTAGATCCTTGCGCTTTGCCCAGCGCTCTTGCACTGCAGCTGGCTTATCCTGGAAGGCGACGTCGCTCGTGGTATAGTGTAAGTCGTGGACATCAGCCATTACCGATGTTGCTATGCTGAAATCCATGGAGCGTGTTTTCTCAAATATCTTCTTGGCCACATGAAAGTAACACATCAAGTATGTATACTCGCAGTCTTCCCCAAACACCTCTTCAACGGCATTCCACTGGGCTGCGTCGGCATCACCCATCACGTAGCGAACAGTTAGAGGCTTACCCACCACAGTAAAATAAACGCGGCGAAGTAGCTTAGGCACCTCGGTGTGCTGGTTTTGTTGCTGCTGCGACACAATAAAGACCGCCAAGAGATGGAAGTGTCTCGCTCTATCTGAGATGCCAGCAGCGATGACCAGATAGCCTACTTGAGTGAGCTTGTACGTGGCGGCCAAGTGTAGGATAAATGATACAGCGCCCTGATTGGCACGGCGTAGAAGTTTCTTCGTGCTAATTCCAATCACGAAGGGATTAGCGTCGCTCCCGTTGCCTATGACAGCATTGCCATTCACATCTGTGCGCTTCGTAAACGTGAACGCAGCTGCCTCTTCTTCTTGACCGGTAAAAAAGGTTTCCTGCACCTTACGGTGAGCGGCGGCACGCAGGTCGCTGCCACCAAGCCGCCCCGCGACATGGTGATGCTCAAAGCGCTGGACTCTCAATAGCGGTGGTGCAGTGACCTCAGTTAGATTGAAACGCTGGGTTAGCGCGTTCCAAATCCTTTTCGGCTAGAGACCTTGACTAGCCCAATCCATCACTGCCGTTTTCGTTGCGTTTGTTAGCACGGGGGCGCTTGCGACGCGGGCAGGGGTAACATGGGTGTAGGCTTCTTCGATCGTTACGAGATGCGTCTGCTGGCACGTCATGACGCGACCTCTCCAGGGGCAGACTTGCACGCGCAAGCCAGGCGCTGCATCCGCATTGGATGCAAAGTGGCGTTCATGCATACATAGCACTGTTTCAGATCACTTTTCGCAACACGGAATATCTTAAGGCCTCCGAGTAGACGGTCGGCCTCGATCTGGGGCGTCGCAGCCGCGTGTGTCTGCCAATGGTGTCGGAAAATTATGAGGGGTGCTGGGGGGAGCTGGGGGCTGGCGTAGTGGGATGAGATTGCTGAATGGTGGATAGTAAAGGAAAACCCGAACCCCTCGAGTATTACTGTATGTTACTTTTGTGAAAGAACTTTGACCATTGGCCAAAATAATCTGCCGAGCTAGCGTCTCCGGGACAAGAGTGCTGCTGGTGGTCTGGTGGTGTCACAATCACAATAACGAGTGGCTGATAGGTATCGGTCGGTGCCACATGGATTTCTGGGGTGCTGATAGTACAGTACTGCACCCCGTTTTCGCGCCCTTGGACCTTTGATAAACTTCCGGATGTGATGAGCTTGAATTCAAATGAACTTTAGTTTGAAAGCTAAAGTCGGATTTATTTGCAAATCCTATATGGTCCACCCCCGCGAAAACGGGGTGCAGTACTGTATACTTTTGGTGTTTTGTTAACAAAGACTGGTGTAAACAGTACTCCCTCATCGCTCAAGTCATGCGGCGAGAGAGCGACAAACGTAGGTACAAAACGCGCTCCAAAATTCACGCCATCTTTCGCGGCGACCATGTGGTCAAACTTTTAAATACAAAACGTTGGAGTTGAAAAGCTACGAAATATGAAATGCCACAAGGATTTGCTTGTCCACGTCTATGGGCATGGACACTCTTACTCGAAGCCAGTGCCTCCTTTTCATTGCGGCATTGCGCGTTTTGGTCTTTACCATCGATCTCGGTGGCTTTCTAGCTGGTTGGAAATGGGGATGATGTCAGCTGGTCGTAATGGTCTGGTGGCATTTACATTACTTTTCACTCTCCTTTCCAATGCCGTCAAAGCGGACTGCGCAGCGGGTCCTTCAACGCTAACAACCGAAGGCTGTTCAGCCTGCGGAGAGCTCGATTTATGTCGCGGTTTCAGCTCAGCGAGCGAATGTTCAGATTCTGGATGTGAGGTCGACGGCGCCTGCGCGTACGAGTGTATGAGCGTCAACCCCAACGTTTCCACGTTAGTCGTTCTAATCGAGTTTGGCGGCTATAAGAGCTCGAAGGAGGTAGCAGCAGGAGTCTTTACCTTGTCTGGGTATCCAGATTTGACGACAGAGTGGCCGTCGGCCAACAACGACGACGTCACGGCTGTCGGTACCATCGACTTGTCATCCGCAGTCACCACATTGTACGCTAAATTCTGGTTTATTGGTGCTTCAACCGAGAACTTATGTTTCGGTTTGTTTGTTACAGTATCATGTCAGGTGGAACCTCTGACTTCGAGTATCCTCAAGGCAAAGTGGCGAGTCTGACGCTGACTTCGGACTTTATATCGTCCGCCCCAGAAGTGACCAAGGTGGTGCTGCAGAATATCGACTTAAGTGACGAAGTTGCGTCATTGTCAACGCTACTTCCGTCAACTGTGGAGAGTCTTGACCTCGGCAACACGCTGCTATCGGCCTTCCCAGCAGAAGTTGGTGTTCTGCTATCACTCCAGCAATTGTACGTAAGAAATAATGCTTGTCTTGACAGGATTCTAACTTTTTTTATCGAGACTTCTGGATTACAACTACATCACGACGATCGACTCTCTGGATGTGATTGACTCGATCATTACACTGTACGTACAACAATATAAAGCTAGATAAGTGCTGATTCTGCTGATATATTTTTTTCCTGTTCAGGAGCACCGAGAGCAACAGCTTATCAACCTTCTCTGGCGTATTTCCCAACTTGGAATATTTGTATTTGGGCGCCAACAACTTCACACGCGTCCCCACTGCAATCTTCAGCCATACAAACTTAAAGACATTGTACGTACTATTCAAATATTTAACATTCGATCTAACTCTTCTTGTACTCCAGAAACCTGACTGGTAACTCGTTTACGTTTCGATCGTTCACTCAAGAGCAAGCAGAATTCTTTAATAGCCTGGAGACGTTAGTACTTACTGCCTCCGACTTCACTGTGCGGTTAGACTGCGATGACATGGACCAGGTTGTTATACACGACGTGACAGTATGTCTTAGCGATGTAGCCGCCACTAGTGACTCGAATTTGTCCGGTGTAGATGGATCTGACGCGCAGAGCTCTTCTTCATCGCGTACTTCTTCAACGAGTTTACTCTTAGGGGTTGTGTGTGGAGTTTTGGCAGTCATCATCGCTGCAATTATCTTCGTTTTCTATCACCGTAAGAAAAGAAAATTCGGCGATTACAAGCTCAGCATTACAGCCGACGACCACTTTTCGTCTTCAAACAGTGAACGTGAACAACGTCAACAGCCGTATGGTCAATTACGGACCTCAACTGGAGTTCCATTAGGTATCCCAATGAGTACAAGTGGCGCTGCGATGGGTTCCCCAACAGAGACGCCTAAAGGTGATGCTAGTACTGGAATTCCGACCACAGAAGTGGCTTCTACGTATCAGTTAGCCTCGCTAGATGCCGCTCCGTTGAGGAAAAAACCACACACGTTTCTGTCGATCTGGAGCGACCCCGAACTTCTTTCACTTCAAGTTCGTGTTGAGGACATAGAGGACGTCAAACAACTCGGCATTGGAGCGTTCGCTACGGTTTGGCTTGTTCAGTACCGGAAGTCCCAGCTCTTAGCATCCAAACGCCTCCGACCGGAGCGTCGTACCAAGAAACACACGTCGAATTTCGTCGAGGAGATCAAGTTGATCGCTAATTTCGACCACCCGAATTTAGTCAAACTCATCGGAGCAGCGTGGACGATTGAGAGTGACCTACAAGCTTTACTGGAGTACATGGACGGAGGCGATCTTCGACAATATCTCTCGGACACAAGTACTCCGTTCGGGTGGTCGTTCAGGAAGTTTGATATTGCTATTGGGATTATTGAAGCGCTGGTGTATCTGCACTCGTTCGTGCCTCCTTTAGTGCATCGAGACCTCAAGTCGAAGAATGTGTTGCTTTCGGCGGATTTCCAAGCCAAATTGAGTGACTTCGGTACGTCTCGCTTTCGATCGGTAGACAACACGATGACGGCTGGTGTGGGGACAGGTCGATGGTTGGCGCCTGAAGTGATTCGAGGCGATACCGACTACGGCTGCTGCGCTGATATCTACAGCTTCGGTGCGTTGCTTACTGAACTCGATACAAACCAGATCCCATTCAGCAATGCACGAGGCTCAAACGGCAAAGTCTTGACGGATATGACGATCCTTCATCGTGTCGCGACGGGTAAGTTGCACCCTCAAGTTCGGCCCACTTGTAATGCGTCCATGAAAGAATTGGTCGAACGCTGTTTGGTTGAAAACCCGTCTGATCGACCTGCTGCCACGGTTATCGCGTATGAACTACGAGTGATTCAAAAGGAGATGGCTGCTTCTCTATAGCAGTAAGCATAGATTTTATTTGACACGGAATTATTTGTGTTGGAAGTCAAGGCCATAATTAAAAAAAAAAAATGAAATTCCTATAACAAACACAAAGTAGATGAATATCCAAGAAAACTGACGGTCATTTACTACAAATAATGAAGTACTTTGCAAGCTGAAATTATAGTATGAAATACCAGTACCGCAGGGTTGTATTCTTCAGTGTCCGCATGTGATGCTTGCAACGAACGAGTATCCCTGGCAAATTTATGACAAGTATCTGCGAGCAGAGGGACGAGAGGATGTTTTGCCGTGGCAAGACTAGCAAATGTTAAACAACAAGTTCCGCTGGCTGCGTATATCGCGGAATCGTTGGTGAGCTAGAAAGATTTGCATCATGGTCGTTTTGGGTCTGGCTGTGCCCGCCTATTAATAGTGAAGGAGATTCCGCTGTTAACTCCGACTGACTCAGTCACTGAGGTTAACACGAATGGTCAAGGGTTTTTACCTGTCAGCTCAGTTGCTGAGTCTGGAGCAGTTGACTCAACTGCTCCTGTGGAATATACCGACTCCCGCCCAAAAACTGAAATGCACATACAGCTTATACCCTCGCGAACGCGGTCATAATACTTTCAGTCTTTTCAGATAGAACTTACGTGGTACTAATGTTTTGCAAAATCCATAGCCTATGCTTACTTGATATCCTTTGGGAACTTAGAACGTTCACCCTTTTTAGTTTCTGGGCGGAGTCTGTACAAACAACGCCGGTAATTTGTCATACGTATGAAACACGCTCGGACCCAAACATGGTTTCCCCGCTGTGACTCTCAATGATCTAGCGTTCTTAAGAAAACAGTTTCAACCAATCCGTATTCGGGCGTTTTTGTACATTCAAATTCGGATCTGTATTTTCTTAAATCGGTTTTGTACCTTTTTGAATCTTTTTTGTAATTTGTGTTCCACTTTCAACTAATCAATTTCATGGGCGGGTATTCCTGTCGCGCGTTTTAATACTAAAAAAATATAAGAAGGATAGTGTTCAGACACCGGGCGGATTTCACCGTCGTTGTCTGTTAAAGAACGCAGAGTGCCTCCTTTTACATGGGTACATGTTCGTACTTTGTATTAATTTGAAGATTCTGCTTCCTTATATCACGAAGGAAGTGAATATTTTGCCCGAATGGGGACTGTCTTCAAACCTACACCTAGCTGATCTATTGCTCCTCTCCGAAGTGCTGATTTTTTTCACATCCATCGAACGGATAGCGTATAGCTGGTAAATACCAAAGTCTCTCACAACCACAACCCCCCCCCTCCAGTCAAAACACGCGGCACCAGCGGGAGAAATATGGCGGCGCAGGCACGTAGCGCGCAAAAGCGCCCACCGGGAGGTGCGGACGAGAGTGACAGCAGCGAGGGGAATGATTCAAGCGGATTCTTGAGTGAGTGGCAGCCGTCTCCAGGTCCCAATGGGCCCGAGATGCTCGGCACATCGAGAAGCGCGAGTGATGGAGCTGGGCAACAGCTTGTTATCGCTCCACTACCAGAGCAGACCCAATTCGAGTCGTGGAAAGCTTTTGAGGACTATCTCAGGGTGTACCAAGCGCAATCGTTCCAGGTAACTTTGCACATTGAACAGCCATCTTAAAAGCGCATTAATACTCACTATATTTTGTAGAGCTTTCGGATGCGGACAAACACCACTGCGGCTGATAGAAACGCCGAAATGGACGTACAGAGATCAAAGGCACCTCGAATTCCCGTTGAGTGGGTACAGTATGCTCGGACTTTTGTTTGTACTCATTAAGGCAAACATTTCTCGACAGCGACTAGCAAGCGGCCACGGCGAGAAGCTCGAGCCCAAGGCTGTAGGGCACAGGTAAGACCTCGGCTTAACGCTCCAAAACACTCTCATTTTGGCTGAATCGGACAATTTCTGTCTGAGACGGGCAATTTCAGGCTGAGTCGGGCAAGTTTCGGCTCAGTTGGGCATGCTGGGAATTGGTTGGCCGCGTTTGGAATCATAATCATTGCACTAAGAACTAATGACTCATTTCTTGTCTTTAGCGCCCCACAGATCAATACGTGCGTCCAAGTGGTCGACAAAGTTTCGAAGAGGTTTGTTGTCAAGATACGAAGTGTCGTCTGGAGCATAACCACTATCTGAATATGCATTCACGGGGCACTCTTCTACTCGCGTTACCATCCCCAACAAAACCTTGCAAACCGTCGATGACCTCCGAAAGGCGGGCGCTAAGAAGACGAGTCATTTAACATTTATTAAGGATAATTCGGACAGTAACCCAGCTGCTCGGGACGTCCAAAGTCTAGTTCAGAAATTGAAGGATCGTGAAAACGGAAAGGGACCATCTTCCAGCGCAAAACGGTTGAAGACGTGGATGTCAGAGTTTGGTGACCGGCCCGGGAATGTCGGTCGTATATTCGTCGATGAAGTGGATGATAAGGTACTATTACATTTATAATTTGTTTTAACTATTGTCTGAAAATTGTGCAACTGTCATGGTAGAAAATTGCTACGTGCGTTACTCTTCAAACGAAACACATGCAGTCTCTCTTCAAACAAATTCCAGAAGTCCTTCTGATTGACGCGACTCACGGGAAATTTTGCTCGAAGTACAAGGTCTTCTCCTTCATGGCCCATGATACGTTCGGAAAGGTCAATTTGTGCAGCACTCTCTGCTACATAACGAGCGATGACCGACGTTGCTAACAGCGCTGGAGAAAATTTAAGGCTAACAACCCTGTATGGACAAAGTTGCAGTGTATCCTTATTGACAAGAACTTCATCGAGATGTCAGTGGTGAAGAAGGCCTTCCCCAACGTTGCTTTTTGCTCTGCCAGTTCCACGCTCTTAAGTATTTGCAAGAAGAAATCGCATCTTTATCTGAAGAAATCGCATCTTTATCTACGACCCGATGAATTCTACCTACGGGTCCAATATTCGACCACTTGCCGAGAAGTTGGTGTCGATGCTACCTGATTTCGTCCCAAGAAAATATCGAGCCCGTGCCTAACAAAGTGATCTCGGAGTGCAAGGCGATAGCTACAACTGTGGGATTTACATACTAGTAGCCTTCGAGATATTTTGTGGCGCCGAATGTCTTAGTTTGCTAAGTAAAAAGGAGATTCAGTATCTGCGCTACAGATATCTGTGCATGTGCATTTAACGATAACAAGTTAGTTCATTTTTCTAATGCAGGCTAGTGCTGGATGCTCGCCACAATTTCATTTGATGGATACCTGGATGCTATGCGTGCTATAAAAATGTAAGAATGCCACACACAGTATTTTTCTCTCTACACGCTGCTCTGCTCTCTCAATGAGCTTCCGGCTATATGTATACTTTCGAGGACACTTCATTCGATGACCCTCCGGCTCTAGCTAAGTCGGTCATATTCGGGCATGCCTGTCGGGTCAATTCGGGCACGGGTGCCCTGTCACGTGTTGCCTATTCGGGCAAAATAGCGAGTGCCTATCACGAAAGGGCTAATAATGCTTTACCTAAACTAGCAGAAAAACAAATTTTATTGTTTCGGCTAATACTACGCAGTAAGCGCGATAGCGCTCCAGACGATGTAAGGCTAGCGGGTGCGAGCAAGCAATATTTATGGAGGCGGGCCGAGGCCGACCTCGCCGGCAAGTCGAAGGGGTGCCCAGGCAAGCGAAGCGCGGTTGGTCACGGTTTTGAATTTGTTGTCTTATTAATTTTTGTGCTTTTCTATGATTGTAATATCATGAACTGGGTAAATGTACCTGAATTAGGACATTTTGTGGGACATCTGCAGGTCATTTTGTAGGACGTAGCTGCAGGACATTTTCGGATGCCTTTTGGTCGTTATAATCCCTTTCGACAAAATCCAGCTTTATTTCGTGGACATGTCAATCGATGCTCGTGCGGAAACCACAGCTTGTCCAAAAGATATCTTGGGTCGTTGGAATCCGAAAAAAATATTATAAAGTACGTACCCCCCCTTCCTCCCCCCAGCTGCATATCCGCCTCGACCTCGTAATCGACTGCGGTGCCGTAAAACGAGACCTTTGCGAATGACGTTAGGGTTAGCACCTTTGTCCAAGAGCACCTTTACAGACTCTCCGCCCGGTGGACGGTGGACTCCACCTGGTTCTTCTTTACCAGCAGTTGAATAAAACCAACTGGTGTAATCCGCTTTACACCTTCCGCTTAGATTGGCTGCGTTAATGGCCCAACAGCTCTTTCTTATTTGTGCGACTCGCTCGCTTCATAGACATTGACACGGTAAGCTGGGTTGGCCGTAGATACGCCATTATCGCGGGGCCTCTAAGAAACACAGTGCTGCTGGCGCTGATGTGGGCGCGATTTGTGCTGTGCGCTGCGCTTTCGGCTCTAAGCCATTTGATGCGCCGGCTCATTGCAGAAGAAACACACGTTACGTCGTTGGCACTCGTTCTTCGAGATTATCGTGCTGAGCCCACGTCCATGTTCTCAAGCACTGGCTCGCTAGGCGGACGACCGGATAGATCAAAACCGCGTTGTCGATCGTAGTCACGACGATATGACTCGCAATAACGAGGCTGATACAATAAAAACCCACGGGAACCATGATGCAGGCTCGGATCGTCACGCCCGTACTCCATATTCACGCTAACCGCTTCGTGAACTGAGCCGCATCTTCGACACATGACCCCAGCGCGGGTTTGTGACTGTTATTAGGTTAATTGTGTCAAGTTTATTCACATCTTTGACAAGGCTAATAAACTGGCGATACTTACTCATTTAGCCCCCTAGCCTCCGGTATTATCTCTGCTTCAGCTGATACATCGAATCACGCAGTCGTTCCTGTAAGTCGGTCTGGAACGAGTCACGGCGTAGAGCACATTAATGACTGAACTGTGCTGGCGCTGCGCAATGCATCATGTAGCTGCTTGATCACTTAGGTTAGCGACCATGATAGCGAGCACAAGCTTCAGGCTGGCTTCACGCGTATGGTCTATGTTCTTGGAATTAAAGAGGAATCTGGCTTGATCCAGAAACAGCTCTACGTTTTCGCCAAGCGAGTCGCTGTAGTGTGGTATGAGAGTGCCCTCTCCGCGGATGGCTTGTTTTTATCTTCTCCATCAGCTCCGGCTGTTGATGCAGAAAATCGATCACTTCTATCAGAACTCGGACAGTCACGTTCGCGCCCATTTTCACTAAAAACGCTCAGTGGGCTTCTAGCACAGCACCGTAGGCGGGCGC